GATAATCTGTTTATACACACAAACATTTTATACCCCAGACAGACATTGAATAAACAGCATACAACAGACAGTTAGACATACTCACACATGCTGGCTTCTAACATAGTGTTGTTTATGATAATATAGTTCAGAACATTTACACGAGCTTGTGACAACCTATTTTTTAGTGTATCCAATTAAAAACCACGCTAATAAGCGTTTGGAGGGGGGGCCCTCTAATTCTCCAAACACTCCATCTTCTCTCATTTTTTTCAATCCATTCATCAAATTTTCTAATATAGTGTTCCGCATCTTTCAATGGAAAACCCGCCATGATCATATTATATTCCTTCCCTTCTCTAGACTCGCTTTTAACGAGATATTTCTGGATTCAGAGAGCACTGAACAAAGGTCTGAAACCAATGTCGGCTGCCACTTTAGACGATACCGCTTCTTTTGTAGTGTCCTTAAGGGACGATACAGGAAAAGCGCCACCCAATATGGATCGTCTCTTCAGTCACCGCTCCGTGTTTTGTAGAGTCCTTAAGGGAAGTATACAGGAAAAACTCTTAACCTTAATGTTGACTAGCACATTAGACGGTTCCGCCTCTTTCGTTATCATTAAGCAGTGTTGGGCACGTTACTTTGAAAAAGTAATTAGTTATAGTTACTAGTTACTTCTCCCAAAAAGTAACTGAGTTACTAACTGAGTTACTCCACAATAAAAGTAACTAGTTACTAGTAAAAGTAATTATTGCGTTACTTTTGCGTTTCTCGCCCCCGTAAACCTCACCACCCGGCCCCCACCTTCTCGCCTGTGTTTCCAAAGCCAGCTGAATAGAGCGGACGACAAAGACAAGAACCTGCAGACAGTTTAGCATTTATTGCAACTCAACGTAAATGACATCAGGGGGAACGCGATGTGAAGTTTTATAACAGGACATTCAGGTCCGGTGAGTATATGAAATTAATAACTGGGGATGTCTAATTCTGAAATCCTGTGTGTTTGGGTTGTTATAGATACTGCAACATCTATCATCTATCTATCTATCTATCTATCTAGATGTATACTCTGTGTGTGACATAAAATATGGATCTCCATCCCTGCCACAAAGGCCATCAAATAATGTTTAAAATAAAAAATACAGTAGGTTGAGAAGGCAGAGTATCCATCCATCCATCCATCCATCCATCCATCCATCCATCCATCCATCCATCCATCCATCCATCCATCCAGATTTCTCCCTTTCTCCATACAGGCTATCATTTCTGGCTGTTGTCAGGTTCATTTGATCGTTCACGCTCTCTATAGTTCTCCTGTGGCGCGAGCACAGAGCGACTGTTGCGCGCCTTTAGCGAGCATGCGCGTTTCCTGTCGCTTGCGCGGTGACTCTTGCCGCCTGCGCTGTGTGGAGATGCAGAGGTAACCGTTATGTGATGGGGAAACGCAGCTCGACGTAACACCGGTATTTCCATGTGGAAAACGCTGTTTTGCTGCTGGAGTCATCCTCACTCTCCATCTCTCTGTGTGTGCTGTACGTTAACACCCACCAGCAGAAACACCCACCTATTCAACTGACAGACGGAATCTCATCCTCCCCTCTCTCATGACAAGGCGCGCACCTCTGGATGACCTAAAAAAATAATCTTTAATATCTCTTAAACAAAAGTAGAACAAACAATATTTTTTTCTGCACAAATCTGCACTAACGTTGCACTAACCATTCAGTCTATTTGCAGAATTTTTTGATGTGGGTGGGGTGTCAGCTTCACGCAGCTGCGCACGAGTCCTATAATGAAAAAAGGTTCATTGTGCGACCTGAGTAACGCGCAGTAACGGGGTGCCTGCAATGGTAACTGCGTTATAGTTACAGTCAAAGTAATTAGTTAGATTACTCGTTACTAAAACAAGGTAACGGCGTTAGTAACGCCGTTAGTTTCAACGCCGTTAGTCCCATCACTGTCATTAAGGGACAATCCGGACAAAGCAAACCCTATATCGACCGTCTCTTCAGCCAACACTCCGCTTTTTCGTCCCTCTTTAGGAGAGGAAACAGGCAAAACTCTTAAATCCTCTATATTTGCTGGCACGCTGCCTACTTCTGTTTTCGTATGCATCTTTCGTGTCTGCAGGCAGACCGGGAATAAAATCACCTTCCATTTCTGCATACAGAAACCGTTGGGCTCTCCAACCAACTTATCCTAGTGAGCAGTCTAATGTTTGAAGGCGTCTGCGCAGGACCTTCAATCGGACTTTCAACTGCTATCCACAGCAGAACGCACAACTTACTTTTTTTTAATTCTTTTTCTTATTTTCTGGTGTACACGTTCGCAAAAAAAAAAAAAAACGAAAAAATAAAATCACTCTGAGCAATTTCTCTGTCCACAGATGGATTTAAAAGATTCAGCTCACTTCAGGAAATCACAACACAGCCAACGTGTTTTAACATTAAAAAAACTGGAGATATTTTGTAATAAGGAATCTCCTCACCTTTTAGTTGTTGCGGCCACAGGCTGTGGAGCTTTTTCCGTCGGCGGCTCTGTTGTTTTGCTTCCAGGTCACGGGCGGAAACACCAATTTGTTAAATGAGGAAGTTATGTCCCCTTGAAGGCAGTTGCTGTTGGGATCTGGATAAGTACCACCTTTCTCCAGCAGAGTGCGCCGTGGGTCTCCTGGGCTGGAGCCCTCCTGCACACCTGGATCTCGTCAGCCCATCAAGGAGACCTTCTCTACTTAAGCAGCTGCCAGACCTTCCTTCAATGCCGCAGTGTTGACCAAGTTTGGTTAGCAAACCTGAGCCTCTGTGATTACATCTTTGTCTCCCAAGAGAAACCCTATTCTAACCTGCCTCTGTCTTCTCACTCACAGGAAACCTGTCTCTTGTCTGAAGCTCTGGATGAGCTTAGCCTGTTACCTGCCTGCCTGCCCTAGAGAGCCAAGCCTGAAGATCTCACTCTGGAATCCATCTGCTGCTATCAGGGAAAGAGCTAATCAGCTAAACCAAGGTCTGTCACTGGAAAGTCAGAAGCTAGACGCTGCTGAGCACTCTGCTGAACCAACAGTCTCTGGACCCAACCGGTTCCCTCTCTCAAAGGAGAAAGCCTGAACCTCTTCAAGGTATTTCCAGAAACATCTGAAACTCAACAGTTCACCTGTTTAACTGGCTAATCAAACTATCCGTCTCTGCAGACGCCAGAGAATCCTGCCCGGACCAGTTTCCTGAATCCAGTCCATGTTATTATTTGTGAAAGCTTTCAATAAACTCTGAACTTTTTATCCGTCTCCAGTGGCGTTCTGCATGTGGGTTTAATCCCTAAACCAACCATGACAGTTGCACCTCGGGACTTCCCCTCCGGTTATTTTCCTGGGAGCAAGTTATTTACTACTCTTAACTCAAACTGGGTAAACTCATGTAAAAAAGACTAAAAACAGGAGTAAAAAAAGTAAGAGTTTATTCCAGATCAGGTCGTTACAGGACAGGGAAAAATGCTTGGAGCTTGCACAGCTGTGGGCTCAAATCAAGTCATGTCCGCGAGCGTCTGGCAAAGATTGAGCCCAGAACAAGGTCAACTCCTGCTTCTTATAGCTCATGAGTCTATGTGTTGCACCAGGTGGATGCTTAGCTGTCAGTATCAGAAACTGACACGCCATCCATGCTCATATCCTGTGTGTCCTTAAAAGACAAGAAAGCTGTCCTATTTAGATGACCCACCTACACAAAGTGACATCCACAATGTGAAGGAAGGCCATTTACAGTACTCTCTCTATCTGGTAACAAAGTAACAATGCACATGATGTATAAAGAATAAACCTTACAAGTGCATGGCCTAACTATACTGATACTGTCAACAGAAGCAAAAGTCCCCAAACTAAATACAAAAATACTGAAATCCAGGAGACCTCAGGGAAAACACACATGAGGGAGAAAGTAACAACGAGGAACCAGAAAACTGTAACGGAGGAGTATATATGTCAAACAGATCAAAGACTGGGGTAATCAACAGATTGTAAGCAGGTGTGGACAGAAGAATCTAGAAGGGAACTAGGTGAAGGAGATTGACACAAGAAGGCAACAGAGGGTAAACAAGAAATACAGAACTCAAATACAACCAGAAAACAAAATGGAAATGAAGGAATCACAAAACATAAGTCAAAATGTAACTGAAAACTCAAAAAGTGACAGATACTAATCTAAGCAATGCTATTCTAGAATAGAATCATCTCTCTGCTATTTAACATAATTTTTACTATAATTTTGGTGCTATATTTTGACCAGAAACATGGTAACATGAATTTAATGAGGCAGTCATATGTTTTTTTTTTTTTATTAATAGACATTTTTATTGCTACAGAGGCTATTTCTCCTTAGTTGATGTTTTTCTGGGTAGGTCGTTGAAAAAAATAAGCTGGTATTTGTTCTTCTTTTAAACTTCTTAAATTTCCTGGTGGAACAAAAATTAATAATCCCTATATTGTTTCAAATATATTTCTCTCTACTATTATATACTATTATCTCTACTATAATAGAAGGAAATAATATATAAAGTGAAAAAAATATCTCCCATTATTATATGACTCTATTAGAGCTGCTAAAAAGAAAGGTCAACACAGTAAAATGAAAATAAAGATGGAAGGTATGAAGGTTGATTTGTTTCTTTGTTATCCAAATAAAAAACTTTACTTCGATGAAAAAAAATAATAATTCAAAGAAAAATTTTGTTCAAATGTATTTTTTGATGGTCTATATTTTTGCATTCACATACTTTTTTCCTTTGATTGAAAAGTTTTATTGTTGAAGTTATTTTATTTTTTTGAAAATATATTTTTTTATTGAACAATAAACAAATCTACCACCACAGGAAGGCCATTCAAAGTTTTATTAGACAGGAAATATCAATTCTGTTATGATATTGCGGAGATATGCACCATTTTCACCACAAGATGGCGACAGATCTCCACAGATATTAAGCGGGGCTGAGCGTGGAGCAAGCCGCCTGTTGGTGCTGTTCTGGGGCATGAGGCTCAGAGGAATGGGGCCGTCTTCCTCCCTGACCCCGGCCCGTCAATAGAAAAAAAAAAAAGGGTTTGGGATGCACGACGGAGCAGATGAACCACAACTCCCCATTACATAAAATCAGGGCTGCTGATACCACAGAAACATGGGGTATCCCATTCTTCTGGGAAAAAACGCAGCTGTTTGCCAGGAGTGAGTTTTTAAACTCCACACGTTTGCTTTATACTTTGTTTCTTTGAGCCGTTTGCTTTGATACAAACATCTGCAACGATGTGGGCTGTGGACTGGAGGAGTCGAACCGCTGCCACTGTACTCTGCCTTTTGGCATACCTTATCTCCAAAGCATCAGCGGAAGGCACAGCGACGCAAGGTAAAAAAGCAAAGTTAATTTAATGCTCAGATAGGAAGGCTAGCTGACCGCCTGGCAGGCTAACTGTGCCGCTAGATGCTGAGGTGGGATCCACATAAGCTAACGTTAGCATGTTAGCTGAAAATGCCTTAAAAACAATAACTTCATTCTCTTAAATGGCGAATAAACGCATTATTTAAGACAGCAATGAACCACCTTTATTTCACGCTAACCTACAGGAGTTTAATTTTGAAGACTTTAAACACGGGGACAGTTTAAGGGCGACTCCAGGTGTTCTAATGTGTCTTTTAAGTTTGCTTTGATTTTTTTTTTTTTTTTTTTTTAATAAGTGTGTTTGGTGAACTTGTTGTGCACTTTATTTCTTTTGGTTTTAAAGTTAATATGTTTTAGAGCTAATTATGTGTTTCTATTGCCTGTATAGAAGAACCCCCCCTTACTCAGGGGTGGAGCTAGATGGGGGGCCAGGGGTGGCCATGACCACCCTAAGTCAATTGTTGGCCATACCCCTACCACTTTTTCCCTCTAAACCCTGGTGTACACTGTGCAAATATTTTTTAAATCGTTGCACGCAGCTACTGCTCACACTGTACGACTAAAGGGCTGGTTATACTCCCCGCAGCAGTGTGTCGCTGTTAGGTTGACCAGACATTTTTGATTTATGCTCAATTTTAAGGGTAGTCTCCGCTTTACGCTGTGGGTCTAGATACGACCGAGGCGGAGAGGTAGTGGGGACAAGTTTGTCCGACAACGGAGGTACATGACGGCGAAAAAGAGCTGGGATCCAGGTGGAAAAAGGGTCCCAGTGTTCTCACGCACCTCGCTCCTCTAGCTGCGGTCATAAAAACAGTACAAGCCGCCCTCCTGTCTGCGGCACTGTCTGCGGTCACCTACAATTCGGGAGAGGTGCAGTAGAGTGTCTGCAGAAGGGGCGGGGACATCTCTGCGTTCATCGCAACACCTACACAGGCGACCACGTCGTACTCGGCTCCGCAGTGAGATGGAGCTGCTCTGACTCGTCTATCCGGAAGCCAAACAAATAGAAGGGGAATATTAAGCTGTCTAGAGTGAAACACGCTGCCTTGGCAATTTGTGCAATGTTGTGATCTGAAAGCCCTAAGAAGAAAAGGCTACGACATATTTGGACAAAGACATGGCTGAGCAGACGTGGTTACTACGGCCTGTTAATTTTACAGAAAGAACTCTATTTCACTTATTGCTTCTGTATTCACATCTGAGAGGAAGAAGAAAAAGAAGAATCCTTGTTTGCGCATTCATACTGAGCGATTTGCCCACGGCGGTCGGGAGAAAATCAAACATGTTTAATTTTCTCCCGACGATTCCTGATCGGGAGGTGGTCGTGAGAGGCAGATCCCCCTCGTTACCCCCTGTACACTACACAACGCCTGATTAGGCTGAAAGTTGTCCCGATTGAAAAATTCTCGCACAACTGGAAAATCGTACAGTGTACGCCTTGCGTAATACAGACAGTGGCAGCAGTAGTACTCTCAAGTAGAATATTCAAACCATTTTAATTTTTATTAACATTTACTTGACAACAAAGATACTGTGGTTAATTATGCACATAAATATGATGAAATTCAAGATAAGTACATAATTCATGCTCTTTTCAGAACTAGATTATGTGTTATATGGGGTAAGGAGAAAATTGTTTCTGCAAGTCATCTAGGAGTCTTCAGTGAAATCATAGATAAATAACTATTTTAATAAAAACCTATTAAATAATCAATTTATGTAGAGATTTTTACTTGTAAATATATTTTTTTGCAGAATGATTATTGATAAAAATAAGTAATGTCAATGGAAAACTGATATTGCCATGAATCATACCTTCTTTTATTACTTATTTTATTGTTTAGAATGTTAGAAAAAGGCTTGATCAAGTAATCTTACTAAAACAGGGAACGAAAGTCAACAACAAAAGGTATGACAACAACTAACCCATGTAAAATTATCCAATGAGTAACAGATATTTACTGTTTCCATCGGCATGAAAATATCAGATTTTAGATGCCGGCCAATAACATCCGACTTTAGCTTTTTTGGCTAATATCGGACCGATATCCGGTATTAACGGTATTGTGGAGGATTTTAGCGCATTTTTTAAAAGACCTGCCTTCTTCACTTTAAAGAAAAACCCAAACACTATCCATCCTGTGAGAAATGGTGGTGGCAGCATCACGCTCTGTTTTTTTTTAATCTAAACAAGGAGAGGGAAACTAGAGAGAGTTGGCTTGAAATAAAAACAGCAAAATAACTTGTTGGAGGTTTTAAAATATTCAGTATTTAAATATATGATTTAGTATTTTCAAAAATATAATAGACCCGCCTCTCTCTATAATAGACCCAACTTTTTAAAAGTTACTGTTCTCATAGCTCATACAGGCTTACTGTGTTCTTATATAAAGAGGGTACTATATAGTGGACTTTACTCAGTTAACTTGCCGTTCGGACAGATCATCACTGCTTTTTCTTCCATTGGTCATGTAACTCCTCCTCCACCTGCACCATCTTTGTTATTAGTACCCGACAGCAGGCCGCTGTGACAGCAAATCCCATAATGCTTTGCGAGGAGAGCTCTCTGCACAAAGCATTCCGGCATATTTTCCTCTTCTGAGGCCTTTCTTTTCTCCTCGTACACTTCGTAGACTCTTTTTCTCTTACGACCCTCAGCTATTTTCAGAGAACCATGCTGAGAAAAGTGAGCTTCAATGACTCACTGACTGAAACCATAGCTCACCACATATACAAGCCTAAAAAGATACCCAAAAGGGACGAGCACGTAGGACGGCCTTACATAAACATATCACCAGAATCATTGACAATTAGGGGGAACAATTTATTTAGATGATCCAGCCGGAAATAAAAGATCATCCTCTATGCCTTTGACATCAGATCAGGACATCTCTATTTCTAGTAGACTTAATTTCTTTTTTTTAGTTAAAATTTTATGTCTGGACGTAAAAAAAAAACAAAAAAAAAAACGGGAAAGTGACATTAGAGAACAAGTTATATATTCAGCCATATTCATAGCATTTAGGTCCAACATTTTAAAACTGAAATATTTTCATTTTTTTCTACAGCTCAACCTTATCATGTAATGGTTAAAATAAAACGGATATATCTTTTTCGTGATTAAGGATATTTGTCTGTCTGCTGAGTGTTTTACTTTTAGCAGCTGACTGCTAAATTATATTTGTTCCTAAATAAATCTTTTTGTTTAATAAAGGCATGAGGATGTGTTTGAGTTTAGGGAATGTATATAATACTTTTAAGGTATACATTTTTAAATTTATTTTTTTGTAGCACGTTTCTTAAAACAAAATGTCTGAGTGTGGATGTTTGCAGCTCCTAAATAATGAGTTTTTTGCCTGTTAAACTTAAATTCTAATTCATTCACCCAGTAACTTTGTGGGAATATGGAAATATTAAAAATGATTATGAAATGCAATGAAGTGAAGTTTAGAGTACCACATTCTCATAGAGGATGTGTTGAGTGAACATGACCATGTTCTCTTCGGCTGGTTTGTACAGTAAACACTTCTGTTATGGTAAACTTTCACCTCACAATGCACAGGCTGACAAAGATGTAAAGCAGCTATAAAGCCTAGTTATCTATTTGCATCAAATTCAGTCGCCAACTTCAAAACTGCCCTGTCATAGGAGCTATTTACACAAATCCATATCTGTTTTAGCCATCGCTTTTATTTATCATCACAGACTCATGTTGCTGTTGTCTCTGTTCACTTACACGGATGGCTGGCCTACATTTGTCCGTTCTCCTCACTTGTTTTTACATAGGGGATCATAAACGTACACATACAGTCATGTTTACTATAAATAAGCCTTAAATGGAAACAGGTTTTCTTTAAGCAACAGTTGAACAATTTTAGGATCAAATCCATGATCATTTTACAGATTGTAAATCTTTTAATCTCAGCTCAGATCTGTGTCCTCCTCTGGTGTTCGTTTTGTCTCAGACTGACCTTTTTGGGTGTCTCAAAGGAGAGAGCTTGATCAGGTCGATACCAGGGATTCATTCTGATGTATCCTGCAAGCACAATGGCCGAGTGGAGCCAGACAGACCTTCAGCCCGCAGATATAGATCTCATTTACAATACTGCTGCCCAGAGAAGGCATGGTGCTGCATCCTTTAATATAAAAACATTTTCCAAAGCAGAAAACTGTATCAAACTGCTGCTGTCTAACAAAATGGGATTTTTGGATCAGATTATGCTTGTTTGAAGACACTAGCTTAGCTTTAGGACGATACGTCAGACCATTAAGAGAGCTGTAGTCAGAGATTAGGCCATTGACCTTTTAGCCTAAGAGGAGAGGCTTACTGTGTTTTGACGGGAACGGAAGAGTCCATTTGCTCTCTATTCTAATGATGTAACCCAATTACCTCCTCCCCTGCTGAGTTGATGAGGCTGACGTTACCTTTAAATCCATAGGAATAAAAATAGTAGTCTGGACCTGACACCTTTGATGGCTTGGCTCTCTACCTTATATAAACCATGAATTTGTGTATGTTTTGCATTGCCAACTGTGACCAATGCTGGCAAACGATGCTGCCCCTACTATTTTTCTTTTCTTTTGTTTTGTTTTTTTTACACGCAGACATCTGTTTTTAATTACTTTGCCTGAAAATGTAAGACAAATGCGAGACTGGTTATCTTTGAGAAACTAACCAGAGTATTAGATCTACGTTTAAAGTGCTTTTTGCGGAGAATTCTGTTGATTTAAGGAAACAAGCTTGTCTGGCACAAATTTTATCTCTCACTGGCTGTTTGTTATGAAGATGTTCAGATTTTTGTTTTTCTTGCATAACATAGCCTGTTGCTTGTGAATTATAAAGGGCAAGCTTTTGATTACACAACAAAATGAGCAATAAACTGAAAGAAAAAGCTAAAAAGAGATGAAACAAAATGCAGTGCTTGATGGAAGCAAATTGTTTATGTATCTCATAAAAAAATAAGGCT